GGTCCCGCGCCTCATCCCGGCGCCTCTGTAAATGCCATTAGCGCCGACCGCCTTCGTGCCGGGACACCGGGCAGCCTTAGCCGGCACTGCGCCCAGCCGGGCCCCGTGCGCTGCCCGCTGCCCGCCCCGGGCTCACCTCCAGCGGCCAGCCTGGAGGGGCTGCCCTGCCCGCAGGAGCCCCTGTCCGTGCCATGGATATGGGACCCTCCCAGCTCAGGGAGGGTAGCAGAGCCTGCGGTGATTGCGCCGAGCCCCAGGGCTGTGCTGGGGCTTTGGTTGCCACCAGTGTCCTGGTGAGGCCACAGTGGCTGTGCCACGGGTGAGACCCACAGGGGCTGATGACCGGCATAGCTCAGTTTGTGCCTTGCACAGGGCACTGCAGCACGGCCAGGGGGCAAGGTGGGATCTGTTCTGGCACAGCGCCCTGATAACCATCACCTCCCTCTCCCCAAGGGAGAGCGTGCTGCTGCCAGAGGAGGACTTACCTACCTCGTGGTGGGCAACCATCAGTGTGGCAAACACACCAGCATGGGCCCCTCCGGGTATTGTGGGCACCTGTTTAGCCAGAGCCCGCCCAAAATCCTGCTCCCATTTGCCTGGTGATACAAGAAAGGCTGGGGGCTAACAGTGGGGCTCTAGCAGTGGGGGAAACTGAGGCATATGACCCCATGACTACCATCATGGACAACTTGCCCAGTGCTCAGGAGCCCACTGACTGCCCAGGGTGCCCTATTATATGGCTGTCGCCACTTCGGTGTTTGCTCTGTCCTTGTCCCCATTCCTATAGGACAGCTCTGTGCTTGCAGGCAGGAATGGCAGAGCCCAGCACAATCCTGCTGCTGGGCTCAGACAGGCATGGGCAGGGCTGGATGCTGCTTGGCTGGGCTGCCTCTCTTTCCCCACGGGCAGGAGCAGGAGGGGTGTTTCCGAAGCCCATTATGTTTGAGGTTGGATTAATGGGGGCTTAAAAATAGGGAGGGATGTGCCTGGCTCACATCCCCTGCAACTGCCAGGTTGAGCCCAGTGGGGAATCCCCTCATGCCATGCCTGGAGTTGCCCTGTGCCGATGCTCAGGGCTCTCCAGACTCCGTTGGCGGCATCGGGGAGGGCTCGTGGTCTGGGGGCTGTGGGGAGGGGGCTGTAACCCGAGCTGAGGTCTTGTTTCTCTGCCCCAGCCGCGGCGCCACCAGCCAGACCCCGGCCATGAACCACACGCTGCTCCTGCTCCTGCTTCTGCTGCGCGGCCTCGGCGCTGGCCGCCCCCCAGCCGCTGCCACCCCCCGCCTCAAGCTGTCCTTCCCTGGTGAGCATGGGACACGGGCAGGGTGGGGGGCGTGGGTCAGGTGTGGCTGCACTGGTTACGTGTCAGCAGCACCCAGCATCATCCCGAGGGATGGGAGTATCCTGGGGGGCAGCCTGGTGCGAGGGGTGCAAAACCCCAGCACCGGCACATCCCCAGCACTGCTGCTGCCCTCCCCACGGGCTAGCAGGTCTTGGTACTGGCTGCCATGTTCCTTACCTGATGCCAGCCCCTCCGGGGCCACCTGCCTGTCCTTGGGACCTCACTCCCAGCATGTGCTGGCTCAGGCGCCCCTGTCCTGCGTGCACCATGGTGGCACTCCCTAGCCACAGCTGTGCCACGCCTGTTGGAATGTCGTGCCAGCTGGGGAGCTGAGCCCCGAGTGGCCGCTCCACGGGCTCCAGCTCGGCGCAGGGGGCTTTGTCCAGCAGCAGGTCTCAGCAAGAGCTCTCCTCCCAGCCTGACAAAGGGCTGTTTGTTCCCGCCACGGTGGGATTAGCTCTGCGGGGCAGGGAATGGCCCCTTCTCCCCGGCTGCCGGGTGAGCGGTGCAGAGATGGGTGCCCAGGGGCACAGGAATCGTTTCTGAGTGGTTTGGGGGTGAGTCTCAGGGGACACAGGGGTGGGTGTGGGGCTGGCATGGGGATGAATGCTGGACAGACAAGGGCTTGGTGAACCTAGTCAAGCCAGTGGGACAGGTTTGGGGGAGGGGATGGCATGGCAGGGGGCTGTGGCCTGACCCGGGCAGCCTCGGAGCGTGTCCCAGGCGGTGGAGATGGACAGGCAGTGGCGGGGCCGTGCTGAGCAGTGCCGGTGGGTCCCGGCAGAGCTGCGGGCTCGCCATGGGCTGCGCCTTTTCTCGCTGGAGCACTCCTGCTGCTACGAGGCCCTGCTGCTGGACGAGGAGCGCGGCCGTCTCTTTGTGGGCGCCCAGAACCACCTCCTGTCTTTGGCCCTGGATGACATCAGCCGGCGGGATAGGAAGGTAACGGGGCCGGGGGGACATGCTGGTGGGGCAGTGCCCGTGCACCAAGTGCTGTGAGCATCCCCTTTTCCACTCACAGATCTACTGGCCGGCTCCCGTGGAGTGGAGGGAAGAATGCAACTGGGCCGGCAAGGACATCACTGTGAGCGATGGGGCGTGTTGTGGGATGGCAGGACTGTGCCAGGGACCTGCCCCAGCACTACCTCACCCTTCATTCCCTCCATCCCTAGGCTGAGTGCATGAACTTTGTGAAGATCCTGCACCCCTACAACCGGACCCACCTGTACGCCTGTGGCACTGGTGCCTTCCACCCAGTCTGTGCCTTCGTCGAGGCTGGCCAGCATGCAGAAGTGAGCTTCCCCTAGCACCACCACAGCCCCCAGCTGCTGCCACCTGCCCATCTCCCATTCTTACCCCTCTCCAGGAGCCTGTTTTCAAGCTGGACCCGCGCCACACTGAGGATGGCAAGGGGAAGAGCCCGTATGACCCCCGGCATACAGCCGCCTCTGTCCTTGTGGGTAAGGGCATTCTGAGCCTGCTACTGGGTGCAGCGTGGCACAGGGGTGCCGGGGGGTCCGCTGTAACGCTTCCCTCGGTGCCTGCCAGGCGAGGAGCTCTACTCTGGGGTGGCCACCGATCTGATGGGCCGTGACTTTACCATCTTCCGCAGCCTGGGCCGACGTCCCTCCATCCGCACGGAGCAGCATGACTCTCGCTGGCTCAATGGTCAGTGCTGGGGACTGGGAGGGTGGGGGGCGGGGGGGACTGGCACCCTGGCACAGCAGTGCTGCTGCCTGGAGGTGTCAGGGCAATGATTCCCTCAGGCTCAGATGTACATTGTCCTTCACTGCCTCCAGAGGATGATTTCAAGGGTTTCTGTGTCCCCACCAATGTCTGGAGGGAATCTCATCCTCACTCTGCCTCTGCTCTGCAGCTGGGCAGGGCTGGTTCTGCACCCTCCCCTGGGACCCCAACAGTCCCTGGGGAGCAGAGTTAGTGGAGGCATTGGAAGCACCACCCCTCTCTGTCCCCAGAGCCCAAGTTCGTGGCCGTTTTTTGGGTGCCAGAGAGTGAGGACCCCGACGATGACAAGATCTACTTCTTCTTCCGTGAGATGGCAGTTGAACGGCAGCAGGGGCTGGGCAAGACCAGCTTTGCCCGCATCGGCCAAATCTGCCGGGTGAGAGCATCCACAGGCAGGTGGGCTGGGGGTCGGGGTGCCCAGGGGTGCCGCCAGCTGCTGCTGCTGACACCGGTGTCCTCCTTTCCCTGGCAGAATGACATGGGCGGGCAGCGCAGCCTGGTGAACAAGTGGACGACATTCCTGAAGGCTCGGCTCGTCTGCGCCGTGCCAGGACCTGACGGGACAGACACCCACTTCGATGAGCTCCGTGAGTAAACTGGGATGCGACTCCACCAGTGTAGCCGTGGGCAACACTGGCAGCACTGATGCCTTCCCTGCTTGCAGGGGATGTTTTCCTGTTGCAGACAAGAGACAAGCGCAACCCTCTGGTCTATGCCATCTTCTCCACTTCCAGGTCAAGCCCCCTCCCCAGTACCCTGCACATACCCAGTGGTGCCCCCCTTGCCTCCTCACATCTTTGCCCTCTCTCTCCCACCAGCTCTGTTTTCCAAGGCTCAGCTGTCTGTGTCTACACCATGGCTGACATCCGACGGGCTTTCCTGGGCCCCTTTGCACACAAGGAAGGTCCCAACTACCAGTGGGTGTCATACCAGGGGCGTGTGCCATACCCCCGCCCAGGCATGGTACGTGGTGTGGGGCTGTCCTGGCTGGTGCCACCAGTGGGATGCTACTGCCTGGGGTTGGGGCAGTGGGGTGTGAGACCCTGCTTAGCCAGTGCTGTCTCCCTGCAGTGCCCCAGCAAAACCTTCGGCACCTTCGGCTCCACCAAGGACTTCCCAGACGAGGTGATCCAGTTTGCCCGTCACCACCCACTGATGTATAACCCTGTCTTGCCCCATGGCCAGCGTCCCCTCTTCCTGCAAGCCACCGTGCCCTACACTTTCACCCGCATCGCTGTGGACCGTGTCACCGCTGCTGACGGCCAGTACGATGTCCTCTTCATTGGCACAGGCATGTAGTGACCCCAGGGATGGGGCAGTGAGGGAAAGCAGGGGGATGTTGGGGCTGGGACCCGTGGCCTCACCCCTCCCTGCCTGCAGATGTGGGCACAGTGCTGAAGGTGGTCTCAGTGCCCCAGGAGAGCTGGCACCGCATGGAGCCGCTGCTGCTGGAGGAGCTGCAGGTCTTCCAGGTGAGGGTCAGGGTTCTGCATCCCACCAGTCAGACTTCCCCGCAGCACCCCATGTGCTGTCCATGCTCTGGGTTGTGCCAGGGCACTCCAGCTGCCAGGCTGTGGAGCCAGGAGTTCCTGGCATACCCGGGTCCCCCCATGTGCCCTTAACTCCTGCCCATGCTCTGCCCACAGGATGCCTCCCCCATCACCAGCCTGCAGCTCTCCTCCAAGCGGGTAAGGGGGGATCTCTGGGCATTCCTATGCCCACCGTGGCTCTGCCTAGCCCTGTGCCACAGCACGGGAGTGCTCAGCTCTGCTCTTTCCCCAGCACCAGCTCTATGCTGGCTCAGCCACGGCGCTGGCCCAGCTGCCCCTGCACCGCTGCGGTGCCTACGGCAAAGCCTGTGCCGAGTGCTGCCTGGCCCGGGACCCGTACTGTGCCTGGGATGGCAACACCTGCACCCGCTACGTGCCCAACACCAAGAGGTAGGTGCCGTGCCAGGGTGCAGTGCTGGGGCAGGCAGCCTGCCCCGAGGCCATGGTGAGGAGCACAGATGATGCTGCTGCAGCCCCTGCTCCTCCATCACCTTCCCTCAGGCGTTTCCGCCGGCAGGACGTCCGCAATGGGGACCCCAACGTGCTTTGCTCTGAAGGTGAGCTGGGACCCGGCTAGAGTCTGGGGGCCAGCCCTGCCATGGTGGGGGGCTGAAAGGCAGGCTGTGTCCCGCAGATCCCAGGCGGGACACCGTCCCCCAGAAGCAACTCTACGGGGTGGAGGGAAGCACCGTCTTTCTGGAGTGCATCCCCAAATCCCTGCAAGCCCACATCCTCTGGACACACCAGCGCACCCCGAATGATCCCCAGCGTGAGGTAAGCTCTCCCTGGGCAGGGAGTGCCGGTGGGACTGTGCCGTGCCGTGCCGTGCCGTGCCGAGCCGCCCGCCCATGCCCACGGCTGCTGCAGGTGCGGATGGACGAGCGGGTGGTGCGGACGGAGCGGGGTGTCCTGCTGCGCAGCGTGCAGCGCGCCGACGCCGGCCTCTACCTCTGCCACGCCACCGAGCACGGCTTCACCCAGCCCCTGCT